GTGGTTTCAGCGAGACGTTATCTAATGGAGGAGGAGGAGGAGGAGGGTGGATTAAGCCAAACCCGCAGCACCAGCTTTCAATTAAACCCGGTGAATTTACAGCTTTTCCTTCTAACACAGTAAACACATGATCCGAGCAGCCGATGGGGTCCCGACCCGGTGATTCCCCCTCCATGCCCTGGTAGGTGAAGGGAGCAGCATCCCATGGGTGCTCACCCCATGGCAGCAAGAAACCCTCTGGGCTTTAAATTATTTACTTGATTCCAAGTGGAGGGAAATATGGTTTTTTGGGTGATGCTGCCATGGGCACTGAGCCCAAGAAGTGTCCCACCTCAGGGATCAGGGCTGTGGGGACAGGGAAAGGATGAACAGAGAGATGGAGCCCTGGGAGATGAAACACCCCAGCAGCAGCATCCACTGGATGGGAGTGATGAAGAGTCCAAGGCTCCGGGTAATGCAGCAGCACCCTGGGATGGAGGGTGCTGTGGTCTGAGGGATGGGTGATGCTGGGTGCAGGTAGCCGTGGTGCCAGGCTCAGCCCTCCCTGCCTGCCCGATGGTCTCCCTGCTCCACATCACATCCCTGCATCAGTCCTGCACAACATCCCTGCATCACCCCTGCATATCACACCTGCATCCATCCTGCACATCACACCTGCATCCATCCTGCACATCATCCCTGCACCAGCCCTGCACCCTGCATCAGTCCTGCACAACATCCCTGCATCAATCCTGCACATCACACCTGCATCCATCCTGCACATCATCCCTGCACCATCCCTGCATCCATCCTGCACATAATCCCTGCACATCACATCCCTGCATCCATCCTGCCCATCACCCCTGCATCCATCCTGCCCATCACCCCTGCACCAGCCCTGCGCATCATCCCTGCATCCATCCTGCACATCACCCCTGCATCCATCCTGCCCATCACCCCTGCACCAGCCCTGCACATCATCCCTGCATCCATCCTGCACATCACCCCTGCATCCATCCTGCCCATCACCCCTGCACCAGCCCTGCACATCATCCCTGCATCCATCCTGCACATCACCCCTGCATCCATCCTGCCCATCACCCCTGCACCAGCCCTGCACATCATCCCTGCATCCATCCTGCACATCACCCCTGCATCCATCCTGCCCATCACCCCTGCACCAGCCCTGCACATCATCCCTGCATCCATCCTGCACATCACCCCTGCATCCATCCTGCCCATCACCCCTGCACCAGCCCTGCACATCATCCCTGCATCCATCCTGCACATCACCCCTGCATCCATCCTGCCCATCACCCCTGCACCAGCCCTGCACATCATCCCTGCATCCATCCTGCACATCACCCCTGCATCCATCCTGCCCATCACCCCTGCACCAGCCCTGCACATCATCCCTGCATCCATCCTGCACATCACCCCTGCATCCATCCTGCCCATCACCCCTGCACCAGCCCTGCACATCATCCCTGCATCCATCCTGCACATCACCCCTGCATCCATCCTGCCCATCACCCCTGCACCAGCCCTGCACATCATCCCTGCATCCACCCTGCACATCACCCCTGCATCCATCCTGCCCATCACCCCTGCACCAGCCCTGCACATCATCCCTGCATCACCCCTGCACATCATTCCTGCCTCAGCTCTGCACATCTGTGTTTTGGTTTGCAGGTCGGCTGAAAAGAAACCGATTCCTGGCTGCTCTCGTTCTTTGCCTGTTTGGTAAAGTGAAGCAGTGGTGAAGCAAACAGGGTGCTGGGTTCACGGGTGCTGGGTTCACAGGTGCTGGGTTCACGGGTGCTGGGTTCATGGGTGCTGCCCCACTGCAGAAGTGCCTGGGCTCTCTCGAGATGTCGCTGCCTGGCAAAGCCGGCACGTTTAAGGAGCAGTATTTACAGTTGGACTTGATGATCTTAAAGGGCTTTTCCAATTAAAACAATTTTATGATCATCCCTGCATCAGTCCTGCACATCCCGGTGCCTCAGTTTCCCCCTTGGAGCAGGGAAGGGCGCAGGTTTTCTGTGGGTGGCAGGAGAAGGGCGAGCTGGGTGAGCTGGATGAGCCAAGAGAGGATCTCGCAACCGAGGCCAGGAGCATCCCACCGGCACTGCGGGCTGGGTGTGGGGTGCACCCACATGTGTGCCAGGACATGCCTGGCACCCGCTGCCAGCAGCCTGGCCCTGCCTGGCCACCTCCTACGCCTGAGATGGGGGGAGATGGCAGCAGCCCCTCACCCCACAGCAAAGGGGTCTGGTGGGACCATTTACCACCCTGACCCCAGCGCTGCCGGGCACCCAAGGCTCCCCAAGTTCTTTTGGTGAAGGTGGAGGAGATGTGGGCATCACGCTGATCCCTGGCTGTGGGAGATGAGGCA